TTGGCTTAACATCAGCAGAGCTAAGTAATCGAGAAATAATTTATATACTTGTGCCGTAATGCATTCGCCAAACTCTCAATAAAGCTCCTTAGTTCTTATAGTTGTATTAGTTCTAATTGTAAAGTTTTTATTAATAGCTTGAATACGCCCATAGCTAGAGCGATACATTCGCTTTGCTTTACTCTTAAGAAAAGAAGAAAAAGTTACGATTTTTATTTAAGGCACATTCATATCAAATAAACTGAATGTAAATAAATTGATTTTTTCCAAGTTCATTTCTTACCAAATTAAACTATTTTACCTCTCCAAACGATCAAATAAGTAGTACACACATTTTCTTAGCATTTTTTTTAAATTATAAATTATAATTGTTCTCTTATTAGTTTTGCTACATAGCAGCTGCAAGCCGAAATAAAAAACTTATTAGCCTAACATTTCTTATTAAAGTGCTTAAGTCAAATAGAATTGATTGTAATTACAGCTTTTAGTATTTTGAATAAAGGAAGAAGATATATATAAAAATATATTTAAAAGTGCAGATAGTAGAATCATAGAAAATATTGAATTAAATTATTATACTAAAATATTGTAAACTAAAGCGATTTCTGAAATATCTAATTTTATTTTAAGATTTCCATTTCTACAGATATAAACTCTAAGCACATATCCAACAAATATATTCGATATATACAAAAATTTTGTAATTTTAGCTTTGAAAATTTCAGATTAACTTGTATGGAAATAGACAGAAAATTTGCTTGAAATATGACCAATATTATATGTAAGTCGATTTGACAGCTTATACTGATCCAGTATATTATATATTCACTTAATAAACAATAAAAAATACAATAACATTATTTATTTGCAATATGATTTAATGAACTTCTAAAATATATCGTCATAGTGCGAGTTGTATTTTATTACATTATTTAAGTGTAAATTACAGAAACTATTATGAGTTTTTATTAAAATATTAATTTAAAAATAAAATGATTATGACAAGGCTTTCTATTGCTTGGTATACAAATTTCGATTGTGTACTAATTTCACAATTTATTTCCATTAAAAATTGACGTCTTAAACTTTCATTTATAGCATCTGATAATGCCAGCAATCGAAGTATTGTTGCTGTTAATCTATATAGTTAGTTAGTTTAGATCGATGTGAACAATTATAAGTAAAACCTGCATTTTAGTTAGACAGCAGGCAATTGCTGTTCATCATGAGTACATACATATACTATAATAATGTCATGGTAGCCAAGTTCTATACATTTTGTATTCGGAGCTCATGCGTTTTTTATATTTTTACTATTATTTTTTTTCCATTGTCATCGAACCGTGACGATGAGTTGTTTTTGTGTGTTATATGTTATGTACCTGTGCCTAGAGCTACTGCCACTGTCTAACCCCCCGTTTGATGATCTAACTGTAGGCCATGCGATAATGCTTTATAGCTCTGCGTTTCGCTTTATAGGGGTGAGCAGCCGTGTGCTATCAGCGCCTGCATGACAGACCCTACCGAAAAAAAAATAGAATAAAATAAAAAGAAATTGTAAATACCACAAACCCACCTTGAAAAAGTCGGCGCACAGTAGTCAGATCCGTACGGTGGCAAAGGAAACTAAGGGATAATTAATTATGCCGTGGGTGCTGCTGCTGCTGGTGTTGGTGACATTTGGCAGCTTGGCTTGATAAGGAAATGACGCGGCAACAAAAAAAAAACGATCCATAGAGAAAATTTCTAAATACTGCTTATAAGATCTATTTCCAGTTTATATACAACTGCGGAAGCATTTTCTATTATCTCAGCACTTTTTGCTCCAATTTTGTATACAGATACATGATCTAAATGTATATATACAAATACGATACGTTTCTGCTTATAACATGACTCAGAGTTAGCCCCAAGCGACGCGACGATTTCTTTCGACCGAATTGTGCAATTTTATTTTGTTCGCTTTTGTTATTGTTTTGTTGCATTAGTTGCAATTATTGGCCAAAAAAACAATTGCAAATTGCATTTTGGGAAAGCTGCAACTATTTCAAAGTATTTATTTCGGGTGAAAGTTGCAACATATGGTGCAACTACAACAGCAACAACAGCTGGTGCTTCAGTCCTGTGTTCTGTTTACCAGCAAATGCACAACTAACGAGCTTTCACCATAACAGGAAAATCATTTCCAGCACTTCCCGAAACTTGCTAAACTAACGGATGTGCAAGACCTAAGAACAGGGCTGGTGGCCGGGGGCCCAGCGTCTCAGGTCAGAAGTAATTGACCGCCCAGCAAGCCCCAAAAACCAAAAAAAGAAAACAGGCCTACTCTTAATGTAGAGTTAGCACGGCAGTAGCTGCTACGATCTCCGACAAAATAATAATAAAAGCCTAAGAACAAGCTAAAGAAAACAGTACTCAAAAATACAAAAAAAAAACAACAACAAAACGAAATACTAGAAACAATAATAATAATAATAATCCACATGTATGACCATTTTGACTTTTAAGTGAAGTCATCAAAAACAGAATTCTGTGAAACTTTTGCCGCTGCCCGGCATAAAACCCAAAATATAAAATAAATATATAAGAAAAAGCAAAAAAGAAGAAAAGACACAAGGGGGGACTTCTTAATTACTAGGGGCCGCAAAAGCGCTGCGTTTAGGGTCAGTTTCTTGTTTGTACTATTGGCCTCATCATAATTACAGGGCAGTTCTTGCCTCCATAAGCCAGACGGGGCCAATGTGATATGTCGCGCTCTATTGCCAACTCACTAACTGTCCGACCGTCCGACTGTCCGACTGTCCCTCGGTTCCTGTTATGAGCCGACAATTATTTTACGACCAACAACATAATATTTTCAGTGATCTCTAAATGGGTTCCAGCCTTTTCTGTTTTCTGATACACTTGCACATGGGGTATTATAATATTACCACGAAATGTGTAACACATAAAAGAAAGATGTGCTTATCAAGAAAACTGCATCAAGGCCAGAGCTGATAAAGCAATATTCATCTATTCGCTGAGTTGGCTGTATCTTACAGGCAAATCATCTTTGAGTTTTTGTCTTACGTAAAATTTCAGATCAGTTTTACTATATCTTTATCAGATTTCGTATGAACGGACGGATACTTCTAGATCGTCCCATTTATTGATTCTGATCAAATCATTCACCTACCTGTTAAATACACTTTAACCAAAACATTATTCCCTGAATTTCCATTTTCAGTTCATTCAGGGCATTGTCTATTTAACTCTTTGCCTGCAAGGGTATTCAAACAAAAGTATGCTGAGGTCAACTATTAGTTCATGTTTTCGTTTCATTTTTTATATTTTTGGTAAGTTTTATGTCAAATTCTAGTTTAGTGGCCAACGTTACGGCTGGCTGCCCTAATAGTCTAGAATGGCGAAATATTGTTTTCTTTATTATTTTTTTGCAGTGACCAGCAAAAGCGTCACCTAAAAAATGTTCTGGAAATGCGTTAAGTTTCAACTACAATTGTAACGATAATTTTCCACCTTTTAGGCAATTGTAGAATTGCAGCTTGAAGAAGTCTTTGGGCAGGTCAAAGCCGGCATGAAGCATGGAAAACTCAGCGAAGCAGAAAATACAAAGGCAAAAGTAGCAACAGGTCCACATACGATTTATACAGAGGTCCGCTAGTTACCGGGGGCCCTACGAGTATGATAATAATTCAGACGCTTATCTCTCAAACATGCAATATGGCTGAACGGGTGGCTGCCTCAACACAGTCGACGGCTCTTGAAAACATTTTCCGTTGCCTGCAAATGGAAAATTGTGAAAAGCTATGTGCTAAACACGAAGCATGCAACAACTGGGTACAGTTACTGCAAAAAGTCTCGAGCCACATTCTTAGTTTATATTATTATTTGCAACAGACTTTATACTCGTTCATAAAGAGAAAGATACACTTTGTATTTGGCTAGATGGAGGCTTGAAAGAGACTTGTAGAATAATCAAATGCTAAAAATGACGCACATCAATTTCGAGGATATTTCAAACACCAAAGCAACCACAGATTAAACACAAGCTGCTTTATACTATGCTAGTGCGGAGGTTTCATTTTAAAAGACATTATGCTTATAAATAACACGATAGAAAGAAACTACTCCGACTTAGAATATTAAACAGAAGTTGATATTGAAGAAAGCGGAATCATTCCCTGATACTCGTATATCCAGGGGAAAACTGTGAACAGAAAGAAAATTAAATGGTGGAGTAGATTCTTAAGTTAAGATTTTGAAACTCCTTAAGTTGCAATATAGATTATTTATTATATTTGTTTATTAAATTTCAATTTTCGAACAAGTTAGGCTTAGTCTTTTAACCCGCCAATAGCAAATCCATATCGATGCAGATACTGCACATAAATGTCAAATTCTAATTGAGCAAAATGTAAGCTATTTACAAGAAAAGTGCCTTTATCTGCATTGATTCGGCTCTTGTTTAATTATTTCAAACTCTGGACAAAACATTTTTAAGCCAACTTCATTCACTGTGGAGTGAACTGTCTGCTGAACGCTAGATGGCGCCACGCCAGTCGTTTCAATTAAGTTGCAATAACAACTCTATTATTGTCCAATAAGCCAATATCAATTAACGTCATCGACTTTCCAGCTGCGCGGAGAACTGCATCCGAAGATGACGTGAGATATGAAACGCTCTAAAAACAATAAAAGCCTGAAGAAAAAAATCAATTTTCCACTGGCAAAAGGCAACGGCTGCTGGTTGCTGCTGATGCGTAAACGTGTTGAGGTTGAAAATATTGTTGTTGCTATCGATTGTTGTTGGATTGTTGTCTGTGCAGGCTCACACCTTAAATGGTGGCAAGACCAAATGCTTCTGCTGCCGCTGTTGCTGACAAGCTCGAGTAACTCAAGAGCCTGTGATTATCTGTGCAAAGAAGCGAGAAATATTTATGTACTGATGGCTGGCCGCAATCATTGATGAGGATACTGCTGCTGCTGCTGCTGCGGCCAATATGAATGGTACCAATAGTGATCTTATCTTAGCTGGCTATGGCTATGGCTACTGGCCACTGGGTATTGATATTTTCCAAGGCATAGGCCACGCAATCTTGCCACAAATGTTGCTGATGGTTACTTGCGTAGCAGGAAGCACGCTTTATAGTTACAAAAGTATCTTATGAAAATTCATAAGCACAAAAAGAACAACGCCACAAATCTGTGGAGGGGTCGCTAGATAGCTACCATTGCTGCTGCTGCTGCTGTTGCTGCTGCTTAGCCAAGCAACAGGTGTAATAATTGAAACCGCCGCATGGAAAACGCTAATCACGCTCCGACTGCTCCGGCTGCTCGCGACTGTCAAGCAAATTATGAGCCAGGCGCGGCCCGAAGCTACCCATCATCTACTGCTGTTAGTTCTATTCTATGGTTGCTGTTTGCGGTTCCGCTCACAGCTTTGGCATTAACTCAAGCAGCAGCTGTAAAATTACAGCAATGCCCGCTACCTTAACGTTTGTCCCAAAATACAAAATAACTCATACGCCGATTAGCACGCACTTTCAACTGTTGGTAACTTCGCCTGTATGTCCTGGCTGAGCTGTTTCCCACGCTCCTGCTGCTGACCTGGACCTACCTTAATTAGCGGCCGGCCAACCGTTGCCATTTGTCACACCTGTGCGTCGCGGCTGCCACTTTTCGGTGGTTGCTTCCCAAATGACTTACGCATTTCAAATATTTTCACTAAATTTACATATCAATCGCCCCAAAAGCTGCGCCTCATGCTGATAATTATCTACAGTGAGCAGCCGTATGAGTACGAATAGCCACATGAGTGCCTGTGTGTACTCTGTCGCCTGTAATTGAATTGAAGAGCAGCCGGCCAGAGGTCACAGACGTTGCACATATGCAGCTAAATTATCAAAGACTGCGCTTCCAACACCAAACAACATAATTGTGTTTGCCTGCAAAAAATTATAGTCTGAGCTTTATGAATTTTCTTAGCTACAATTCTTTTCTTTCCATACCATATACTTTTACTTATAGAATTACTTTTCTTAAAACTTGTCTCGCACTTTTTTATTAGGCTAAAAGTACAAACAAGTTGATTGCCTGAAAATTACTATTGGCTTGCCTTATCATTTTGAATGCTAATGCGTTATTTGCGACAGTAAAGAGGTCATACAGTAAGCCCAACCTTACACACTCACCTCACACGAAATATTAATATAATATAACACAAATTATATATACTAAAATTTGATTAAAATATAAAGTTCAGTTCAGTTCAGTTCAGTAATGCAAAGTCAACACATAAGAATTCTGATTATATGATATCAGATTTCAAGATATAAGTAATGTTTGTAATGAAAATGGCCAATTTAGTGGACCTGTTGCACAGTGTTATTTACGCGATCAGAGAACGCGTGAGCTTAGCGAAGTCAGCGGCGACTCGGGCAGAGCCACCTGTGCGCAGACTGCACACAAAATAATGCAAATTATCGTCTGGAATTGCACGAATGGTCAAGTGCATGCAGATGTGTAAATGGAGATACTGCCGCCGCTCAGCTCATAATTGAGTTGCAAATACATCGTCGCTGCTGTTAGGCGGTGTCGATGGCTTTGCTCTATCTGGTGGTCGCGCTGTGGTCTTGAGCTACGTTCCCAGGCTACTGCAATTTAAGAAAAAAAACTGAAAACAGAAAACTGAAAACCCATTCAAATACGCCCTTTTACAGATAATCATCATAATTATCTTGCAACAATAAATAAATTCAACTATATATATATATATATATATATATATATATATATATATATATATCTAAGCAAATTACAACAATTAGGCAAAGTTACGCGCTCCCAGCAAAGTTGAGCAAAGGCCCCCGCCCTCCCAAAAAGTATATGATTGCTACCAACTTAATGGCAGATATATATATAAATATATATATATAGCTTAAGATTTTTACATTGTACAATTTACTATCTAAAACACAAGAAGCATAATTTTCACACGCGTTTCATTTTTGGGTGCACACACACAAATTAGGCAGAAAAACATTCAGAGACCCAAAGCCGAAAAAAAAGACCAGCAAAGGCTTGAGCTAAGTTTGCTTTATGCGAGGGCTGTATGTACAGTTTATAACAATAGTGTACAACACTTGATCTATAAAAGTAATACCGTTTATTATTTTTGTTTCTATTCTAACTACAATCGAGAAGACTTATAAATAGGACTTGAACTGTTTCCTAAATGTTTTTAACACAAATTTGAAATCACAATCACATGAAGATATTTTTGGATTCAAACTCTATCTAAATCAAAGACTGACTATTCGATTAGCCGCTAAAGGATGCTGTTTAAGCAAGGCCAGTATACAAAACCAATCCTATTTATATTCCTATTCCTATTACAATTTTAATTCAAATAAGAAAATAAATAAAAATCTTCTCTTGAGCCAGCCTAAAGATAGCTTCTTTAAGTACGTAAACAAAATGTTAGCAAAATGCTTAGACGAATCTACCTCCACTGGAAGCCACTAGGTATTTTTACTCTCAAGTAAAGCTCACCTAACGGAATGTTGGACAATCTATAAATAATTAAATTTAATTAATAAAACCTTAGCAAATATTATATAGTTTTATTAATGTTTTCACTTATTCGCAATAGTTAATATTTCTAATTTAATAATAAATTTGTCAACTTCCGTTTTAGCTGTCGAAAAGTTGCATAGCGCACCTCGCATCTGCGATTATTATTGTAAGCATTGTTAAAATGATTGTAGCAGGGCTGTTGGTGTTAGTGGTGTTGCGTGGTGCGGCGACGACGACTAAGCCCATGCCCAATGCCTCAAAAGCGGAAACTCATTGGCAACGCTTCGTTGCGTAAATTTCTCAACGCGACTTTTCGGGCAACAGGTTACAAAAAAGGCACAAAACACTGCAAAAAACAAACCAAAATCTGACGGCAAAACCACCAACAAAATGGCCGGCGACTAGACAACAAAAACAGCAACAACAACTAATGCAAAAATAACAAATAAAATAAAAAGAGAAGCAAATATTTTAATATTTCAGTTACGCTTCGGCGAGCTACGACATCATGATAGGCAGGCTCTGCATAGGCATCTTCAAATATAACCAACAACATGAGCATTTCAAATTGCCAGAGCGAGACAGCTAGCTTTACAAAAGAAGGAGACAAAATGTATGTGTTGTGTGGGGGGAAGTAAAGCCGCAAAACAAAGGGTAAATCACAGACCCCATAGATCTGCGCCAGATTCGAATCTCGTGCCAAGCTACCACAAAGCGGCCAAAGACAAGCAACAACAACAACAACGATGACTGTACCTGCTGACTACTACTACTATGTAGCCCGAACACCTGAGCATTTCTTTATGGATCTTGAGCAGAAAACCTATCGCGGCGTAACGTCATTAAAATTAGGCTACAACAGCAGCATAAGTTAAGACGTAAGGGTTCCCTATTGCTACCAGACCCCCTGCTCGGCTACCAAATCATGAGTCCATATCGAGTATAGAGAGCTAGTTGTACCTGTTGCTCGTGCCATAGCTATAGGCTGTTCTATTGGTTACGCTTCGCTGTCGGGGCAAAGATGGCATAGGCGTCGTCGCATCTGATTTTGAATAGTGTGTACTACATGAAAGCATCCATGGCTATATGGTTTCTGCTTCTACGAGCCTCAAAGCTTCGTTGCATGTGTGGATTCTCACGTAATTAGCGCCAACAACAATGCCATATAATTAGCCCAGCTGCAAAGAATACTTACTAAGAATTATGCATAGCACAAAAAAAAAATAAGGAATTGAGCATATGGGAAAGAGAAAAAAAATATTGTTATAGAATATAAAATACGCAGGTGCTCGCTGGGTGCCTAGGCCACCCCAGAGCCCAGCAACTGTTGTTGAAGATGTTTCAGATGAGCCAGCTGTGATAGTTAGTTAACCGTTTAATGACTTTTCTTTTGAGCGTCGTCTGATGCCATTGGAAGATTTCCCATAATTGTCTCCATTCAAGATCACATCTTTCGCTGTGCATCGCGCCTAATCTTTGGTCTAATTATCTGCAATTTTCCTACCTCTCTTACGGCCTCTGCCTTTCTCTCTTTTATTCGCTCTTGATCTACAATAAATGTAGAGTATATGAAGCTTCATCAATCTAGTTTATGTTTATCATATAGAAATATAATAAAATTGTATAAGACAATAATAAAATTGACTTCAATTTCAATTCAATTTCTCTGTGCAGCTGATAAGAGAGCATCACAATGAGATGAGCAAATTCTGCTCTCGTTTAGATTAGCGCTTATCAATCGGCTTAAACACATTTCAGTATTGCTTGAGCTGTCTCAGACTTTGGATCAAAGTCAACGGAATATGTTGAAATTATGCTTCGTTTTTATTATCAGTTTAATCGGGAGCGTCGCTTCAGATACAGCCGATAATTACATTCTAAGAACACAAAGGTAAATATATATAAAAATCTTTTGTTATTGTCGAAACAATTATTAAAATTATTTATATTAAATATGAAGTATATAAAACAAGAAGTGGTGAAACTGTAAGAACATTTTGTTTTTTTAAATGTAAGTAAATTTAAAAAATATTTTATTGCCACTCTACTTCACGTTCAGATTCAGCACATTAAAAAACTTTCTTTTCTTTTTTTTGATTCACGTTCTTAAACTAAAATATAATATTCATTTTAACATTTATAAATATTATATATATATTTTTTTTGTTTTTCTTTAGTTTTTTAGATCAGTTTCTAAACTAAAATTTTGTTTCCTTAAAAAACTTTAATAAAAATACAATATATACATTATCTATACACACAGCCTGCCCGCAGATCTCAACTTTATGCCTAGCCTATCGAATGGACATCTAGGCTATACGGTATTTGGCAATGCCGTGTTCATGAATGGCGTATACAATGGTGCTGGCGGGGATAGCAGACGTGCTCGTATTCCCAACTGGATAAATATAACTGCCGAATTGTGTAATCCAACTGGTTGCCAAATAAGCAATGATTTCACTGATATCAGCTATGAGATGGATCTGCGTGGCGGCTACTTTCGATATAAGAAAAATTACGAATCTCTGGGCTTAACACTGGAGCAACGCACCTATCCACATAGATACTATAACAGGGCACTGATATATGAAGTGTTAGCTTACAGACAGACAAGTGTTGCTTTAACTCATGGTGAGTTTGAATATAGAAACTGCAATTAATATTTCTGAAGTTTTAAAAATAAGTTAAAATTTTATATATTTATATATATACCCAGACACGCAGTATCTAAAGCTAAGCCAACAGCCTGGCAATGCTAGCGACGCCTTCAATTTCGTAGTGCTCAACAATGGCAGCGTTGCTTTAGAAGATTATCGCCTTCTGCGCGGAGTCACTAAAGTTGTGGAGCTAAAAGAATTCCAACCGAATCCTCATGAAATTTACGTGCTCTTTAGTGAATCATTGGAGCAGCCACTTATACTGAATTGGCCCACGTGGCAGACGGAGCTGCGCCATCGAATCATTATTTGCATCGATCGTCAGCAAAGTGTAGTCCGCAAGGAGCTGCAGGATATGCTCCAGCTAACTCCAGCTGCATTGTTGCAAAGTCATGTTGATGCATGGACCGACTTTTGGGATAAACAGTTCTCGATTGAAATCATTGGCAATGCATTAGAATTGTCGCGCATCGTCAATGCGGGCATCTTCTACATGGCCAGCTCCTTGCCAACGCTGAGCAGCAATCAGGCGAATGGGCCCTACTATGGGCAAAGTCCTACGGGCTTGGCACGTGGCAATTTGGACGCAGACTATGAGGGTCATAACTTTTGGGATACGGAAATTTGGATGTTGCCCGTAATAACGCAGTTTAACTTTGAGTTTGCCAAACAGTTGCTCGACTATCGCTACAATCATCTGAAAGGCGCCAGATATAATGCTCAAGCAATGGGCAACCAAGGCGCAAGGTAAGTTGGGTTGATTCTAGCAAAATTATTATAGAAGTCAATAAAACATCGAAGCAAGTTTTTTACGTTCTGAATTCACATCTTTTAGATTTCCCTGGGAGAGCGCCTTCACTGGCACTGAGGTGATCAATCCCTGCTGTCTGGAGATTGCTCAACAGGAAATACACATATCGCCAGATATATCCTTTGGCCTGCAGAAGTTCTTTGCCCAGTCGAATGACTACGCTTGGCTATGCCAGCGGGCATGGCCCATAGCTGCTGAGGTGGCGGAGTTTCTGGTCAGTCGCTCAACATGTGAAGAGACTTGTCACTTTTATAATATCATGGGACCGGACGAGGATCACAGCAATGTGGATGACAACGTCTATACGAATGCAGTAGCGAAAATTGCATTAGACTTTGCCGTTTGGGCGGGCAGTAATTGCAGCAATAGCAGCGCTGAGCTATTCGAGAAATGGCAGCAGCTCAGGGACAAGCTAATCATCTTACACGATGTCAAGCTGGATTATCATCCACAGCATTCGGGCTACAAGCTGAACGAGACTGTGAAGCAGGCGGACACAATATTACTTGGATATCCATTGCAGTTCGATACCAGGTGAGTTACCATATAACTAGCTTCGCTTTAGCTAAGGAAACCTCAAAATCTCCGCAGCGCCACACACCTAAATGATTTGCAATATTATGCGAATGTTACACGTGCAAGTGGTCCAGCTATGACCTGGTCCATGTTTGCTGCCAATTATCTATCCACGAACCAGAGCTCGCGTGCCCATGAGTACTTTGCCCGTGGTTATCAAAACTATGTGCATAAGGAGTTCAAGGTGTGGAGCGAGGTGCCCATTGGCTATAAAGGCTCAGCCAATTTCCTAACTGGCATTGGTGGCTTTCTGCAATCGCTTATCTTTGGCTACGGCGGCCTTAGCTTTGCACGTGCCGGCGACACATCGCAGATGCAGCTCTCAACACCGAACGTGCCGCCCGAAGTACAGCAAGTGCTGATTAGATATATACAATTTGCCCAGAGCAAGTGTTTTTGGAGTTTTAAATACAACAGCTCCAATATGATCTGTACGGGTCCAGCGAATCAAAGCTTTGAACTTCTTCAGGGAAATCAACGCAAACTCTTGGGCAATAGGTTTAATGGTATGATCATTTGCATCAGTTAAGCTAACATCTGTCTAACTTTTGTACATCTTTTAGTGACTTTAAACAGAGGTGATGCGGCTATGTACATTAACGTGTTGAGTTCAGCAGTACGAGAATAACGACAGCAGGCAATATTTATGATAACCAGAAACTAGTTATATGAATATAATAAATATTATGTAATATTGTTATTATAAGAATAAATATAGTTATGAACTGATGGTAAATTTTCAATAGCTAAATATTTGATAAATATCTTATATATTTCACTTTTGACACTTCATCAGTTATCAGAAAATACTGTTTATTGCCCATAAATATTAAGTAATATTTTTTTATTTGTTAGTTGTCAAACATTCACAAGATCATGACATAGAAAACATAAGAATTCACAGTTTTATATTCCTTTAAGGAACGATCTCGAAACATTCTGTTTAACTTTAAAAACATCCTTAGAAACAAAAAAGAAATAGTATATTTATGGCTTTTTGAGTTTCGTTTAAGAATATAAGTTTATATTGTACTTTAGTAAAGTGTTAGGCTTTATTGAATGTGAAGCAAGTTGGGTAGTTAAGTGTATTGTATGGGTCTGAAATCTAACTTATGTGTGTATCAACTACAATAAGCATTTAGGTTGTGATTTTGGAAGTTACTATTGCATTTGGTTGTAGTCAGTGTTGGAACAGAATCCAACAGTTTACTTAAACTTAGATATTGAGGCGCCGCTAACGCCGGCGGTGGTTTTATTACTACCACTAAGCACCACATAGGGCGTCTTAGTTTCCTTCTGTTTCTGCTGCAGCATAGTTAATGTGCACAATGGCGTGTCCGTGGAACTCATGGTTTTCATTAACTGTAAAGATAAATAACATTAATTATTTGGTTCAATTGCTATCAAGAGGAAAAACATACGCCATCTTGCTCCATTTTTTTGAGACGCTTCTCAATCTTGTTCTTTCCTGGTCCCTTGCCATGGAACTTGTGCGACAAATAGCGGAAAGCCTCTTTGAGGTTCAGGATTCGACCATTGTCATCAATATAATCAAGTTTGACATTGGGTTTGAATGTTTCTTTGTCCTTGAAGTCCATAATAGGACCAGCGTGAAAACGATCTCGACGTCCGATCTTGTCATCCTCACTAGTAAGAAGAATATTCATTAAACTATAGAAATTACAAAAGATTATTCACTTACCCAGCAGCTTTATCTTCAATGGAGTAGTTCTTTGCCTGAAGATGCGCCATTTTCGTATTACTAGGTCGATTCTTCTCCTCCTTTTCCAAATAACCCTTCGATAAGGCCAAACGCAGCGCATTTGCCACACCAGCGCCCACATCAGGCTCCTCATCTAAGATAGCCCGCTCTTCGACATCATCGCCTAAATTATCTAAATCAGCGGGCTGCATTACTTCGTCGGGATTTACCGAATTCCATGTGCCATGACTTAACGCAGGCTCATCCATATTCGTATCCATGTGCTCATCCAAAGCTTCGTCTCTGTCGAAGTCCATCATATCATTGGAATCCTCATTACGATTACCAGCCATACCATAGGTGGGAATATCACCCAGCGTACGACAAAACTCTGCGGTGGCATTGAGCACAATATTACTGTCGGCAGTGCCAAGCACCATTTCGCCAGCGGCGCTAGTCTCATCAACTGGCTCTGGCTTAACGTTGTGCGTAATAGAGGCTACATCGATGGGGAGAGACTTTTGTATGAGGTTTTCCTTTTGCTTAAGCTTGCGAGCCTTCGACAGCACACGCTCCAAATCATCGTCGTCATTTTCCAGCTTGATTTCTGCCTTTACCTCATCTGTCATGCTAACATCTTCATTAGCATCACGGTGGCTTCTACTACGACTGCCCAAATTTGAGGAGCCCGGTAACTCATCGATTGGTTCCAAATCCTCCGCTTTTAGCTTCTGACGCAATTTCTTGATTTTTTTCTTTGGCTTCTTAAATCTAAAAGGAACAAAACCACAAAGTTAGTAGGAAGAATTTAATACAATTAATCACCGCAGCTTACGTCGCAAGCTCCTGAACACTGAATGTATCTGATGCCAATTTCAGATTCGTATCCTCCAACGTTTCCAAGCGTTTTCCAGCTAGTTTTGTCTTGATTTCCAACAGCTTGCGCCTGTGCTCACGTTCCTCTTCAACGTTTTCTCCAATTACAAAGTTCTTTCGCTTCTGGGGCTTACCCTCGAGATCCTCATTGTATTTCTCAAGTATGGATCGTTCAATTGGATTGCCTAGCTCATCGTATTGCTCTTCATATACATTATAGCCATAACTAAGGGGGTTAAGCTTTTTGTTGGATACATTTTTCTTGTATCTTTCATCATCAAGCATGTTGACATTGACCAAAGTGTCGCCATCTTCCTCATTGAGCACGTCCTGATCCTTGAGCGTTAATATAACTGTTCGACCCTCCCCAAAGTCATTCATATCATGCTCGACACGCAAACCCTTCAAATTGCGATCATTATAGGCCAGTTGACGAGCTTTCTGCTTCTCTTGCTCCATTATGTCGGCAACACCGAACGCCTCATCAAGTTCCTCTAGCTCTTTGGCCTAATGCAATAAAAAATTTACATTATTTCGATTTGCATGCTATTGATTTTATTGTGAACGTACCTTCCTCAGTGCCTCCTCACGTTCATTAACGACACGTTTGTTGCGATCAACCCATTTGGACACATTGTCCGTTTCTTCATCTGATTCGCCGAGTGTGCGAATGCGTGCCAAGCGCTCTTCTAGGAAACGTTTCTCTTTCCGCTGCTTAAGCTTTTCACGCAGTTTTTCGGCCTCCTTTTTCTCTTTAATATTATCGGCAGGCTTGTGCAAGAATTCGCCCCATTCGTCCTTGTATGAAGAGAGATCGGCACCAGTTTTTTTGCTGTCCTGTTGACTATCGCTGCTGGTAGATGGCGCTGCCTTGCTTGGCCCCGCGTCCACTTCAAGTGGCTTCAAGCCAAGCTTGGCACGCAACTTGTTTGTCTCTGCAATGGAAAGCACATCCCCAGCTCCGTTTTCCGGAATAGGCGAATGACTACGTGAGCGCACACGTTCACGTTCACGACCTGGCTCTCGTTCCCTACCACGCTTACGACCAGCGCTGTTGTCTCCCTTGGGTGAATGGGAACGTTGGCGGTGCACTTGATGTGGGGCTATTGGTGATTGTGAGCGAGAATTTCCACGCATACGTTCCCGCTCCTTTATTGCTCGCTTACGAGATTCGCGCTCACGTTCTATTTCACGCTCTCGTCGACGCTCACGCTCATAGTCCAAATGCTTGGATATTTGCGGTGGCGGCGGAGCTGTTATCTCATGATCTCGTTCTCGCGCTGATGGCTCACGCTCTCGACTAGGTGGCTCGCGATCTCGAAGATGTGTTTCCCGCTCTCGAACAGATAGCTCACGTTCTCGTGCAGACGGCTCACGTTCTCGTGCAGACGGCTCCCGCTCTCGTGCAGATGGCTCTCGCTCTCGTGCATACGGCTCCCTCTCTCGTGCAGATGGTTCCCGCTCTCGGACAAATACCTCGCGACCAGATGCATCCCGTACCAACGGCTCTCTTTCTCGAGTAGGCGCCTCTCGCTCTTTCACTGACAAGTCACGCACCTTCGCCTTAACAACTTGTTCGATCGGCACCTCCACACAGTCGGAACCTGTAAAATGAAATGTTTAAGCATAAATACAATTTCACAGTAAACTTTCTCTGCCCAATGGCTTGTCAATATAATTTTATTTTTCGTTGCATTTGTTGCCCTCTTTTCTCACACTCACAGTCTGTCTACCTGAAAGCAACAAATAAAGAGAAAAAAGAACAACAAGACTTTAGTGAGTTCAGATCACAAAAAGTGCAGCCCCAGAGCAATTGTGTGGCATATAGCATATACAATAAACCCAATAGAATATCGCTTTTCCTGTTCAAGTATTGCATGCCGGCCGTGCAGTTGCTCCTTTAATGGGGCTGCACAACTAGAAGTTACGCAGCGCCACTTACTGTCAGAATCCGACTCCTCCAGGGATATAACCTCACTAGGTCGCTCACGCTCCTTTTGCTTGTGATGCTTGTGTCGATGCTCCTTGTGTTTCTTGTGCTTGTGGTGTCTGTGTCGCGTCGATGTCGAGTCGTCCGTGAGATCCAGAGTAACATCATCATCCGTTGCACGTTGTCGTTCGCGTGAACGCGAGCGGTGACTGTGTTTCTTGTCCTTTTTGTGTTTTTTTCCAGACGATGAACCCATTTTTAATAATTTATTGAAACTTTTGTCAGCTTAAGAAATTTTATAAACGTTTTCGCTGTATTCTTTTTTGTTATGCTTTGCAAATTTTCCAACACTGCAGCAATGAGTCTGCGCAGCAAATCTATCGTACAATTAATTAACTATCGAATATTTTGATTTTTATTTGAGCACGAGAATTAACGAATATCAACTGTCTGGCAACACAAACAGGAAGTATTTCTAGCGGGCATTTTCAAATTATAAAAACCGATATACATCAAAATCTTTATTTTAAATAAATGCATATATATTATGTACATATAAATACATGTACATAAATGTGTATATGTATAACTAAATATTGTAATGTGTATAATTACAAATTATATAGGATTTATAACTTAATTCACACGATCCCAGCGCCAAACTGTGCTGTCATCGCATACACAAATTAAAATGGAGCCATCCTTAGAGAATGAAGTTTGTCGAATGGTTGATGTGCACTTGGGATGCACAAGTTGACTGCATTTAGTCAAATTCGGATCATTGGAGTCCAGCTCCCACACAAAAGTTGTTCCCAGCTGATTGCCAAGTGCGAGCACTTTTTGCCATGCATTAAAAGCGAAGCGCACAAACCAAATCTCGCACATTTTATAATCGAAATGATGGAGAACTGTTGTCGAATCCTGAGGCTTAATCTCGTGACGCTGCGAAAACAACTTGCCCGGTTTCCAGCATACAATCGAGTTCTCACACGACTTGGAAAATATAAAGTCACCAAACCACTGAACGCAGTCAACATAGTTGCGATGAATGTCGCGAGTGGAGAAGTCGGGAAAGTGCTCCTTTATGGTGGGAAAGGGTGCTGTGTTTTTGCTAGCATTAAAGTTCGAGCTTAGCTCGATGGCTTCCTTAATGTCGGGCTTATTGAGTCGCCACAGCTTCAACGAATGATCCATGCCGCTGGACATAATGCGATCGCCCCGCAAATCAAAATCAATTGACAACACTTCGTCTCGATGACCCTCGACGCCGCCAAATACAGCGACACAAACATCCGTTTGAATATTCCACAAACGCAACGAGTGATCCTTGCTGCCCGAGAGCAAAAGCTGCGGCGAAATTGGATGAAATTTCAGTTCATTTATCGCATGTCCATGGCCAATGTAATTCTTCGAGCATTGATGTTTGATGATGTTGAAAATGCGTATAACGCCACGATAACCAGCTGCAGCTAAAACCGGGTCACCAGTTGTGGCATCATAAGACCAAGCGCAAGTATAGAAACTTTCATCGGTCTGTAAAATTGTAACAAATTTAATACAAATTTTACACAATTCGAACGAACTTACATCCGGATCTGCATAAACCTGCAGCAAACGTATGCTGTCTGCATCGCCAGACTCAACTTCCACATTATTCTTAACACATTCATAGATAGAGACACGATCTTTGCCCACGGTTGCAAACACAGCTTGACTCCTATCCAGATGGGGATTGAACTGAACGCCAAAGATTTGATGATTGTGGTCCTCGCGAACATGATAACTGCAGAAAAATAGTGTATTGAGAAAAGTAAATCAAGTACTTTGTCGACAGCACCTATATCTGTAAAGAGGCTGCACCATTTTTGGCGCCTTCGCTCGCCGGCACAATCTTCTTAGTTTTCGTGTATTTGGGGATTTGCTTTTGCTGCGGGTTGTTGTTGTAGTCGAGCTAAAGACGCTGCCCGAGTCCAGGGAGTGTGTGTCCTCAATATCGACAGTGGGTATGACAATTGGAGACGTGTTGGTTATTTGAGGTGATGATTCGTATGTTATGGCATCTCCACCATCTACTAAGTGTTCCTCTTTACTTTCGTTAGAACTATTTTCCGTCATTGCGCGACTCGCCGAATTGTTTACTTTTTTGCACTGACGCAGAGTTGCCACCTTGTTTGAAGAAAATTAGCAAACCAGTTCAAATAAAATACTGCATTGCAGTTTCGGCCAATTGGCACTTAGCAGATCATCAATATATTTGTGTTGTTTTCAAGGTAAACTTTATACCCAACTCCGGAGAGATTTGTTGCTTGTTTACCAACTATATTCATTTATTTATTACTCCACCTGACCTGGAACAATTCGACCTCATGACGCCAATCACGGGCATCATATTTTCATATTCATATTTTCTGTGCACTATTCTAGAGCTGCCACCTTGTCAAGAACGCCAAACTTGCCAATTTAAATATACTGCATTATTAAACTAATGTATACTTTATTAAATTTCCTTTTGTGCTTAATATATATAATATAATAGCTAACGACGTTCAGTCTGATTTGCCCTCAGCAGTTCGTCAATATACTTGTCCACTTCTTCGTGTGCTTTTAAACTGTGATCTGTGCGCGAGAATATCTCGTTTATGAGGTACATACGCAGCAAGTCCGCCTTTGTCTGTAGTAGTTGCGCCTGCGCTTGCTGTAATTTTAGCTCGTGTCCCAGGAGTGGACCCATCTTCAATTCTGCAGCCTCCATCATAAGCACACACTTTTGATGGTGCATGTGCACCAATTTCTCCAAGCAATCACGTTGTTCCTTTTGCATTCTTATTATTTCCTTTTGTCCTTGAGTTAACTGCGCTTCTTCTTCCTTTGCCAGTGCACCCGGCAATTCAGTCCGTATTTTATCGCCCAATTGTGCTATTGGTGTTAGGATCGTACGTAAATTTTCCGCCAATTTGGTGCGCACTGCTTTACTATCAATATAACTGAGTGGAGGACATCTACTGCATTCCTGCAGGTCTATAAGTGCGTGTTTAAAATGCATAAAACATATTCTGCATATATATACGGGCAGTTCTTAGTTACCAAGCAAATGATCCTGATCATCACCCAGACGTATATAATCGGCTACCGAAACCAATTTGAGAGCTCGTTTAATTTCTGGGGTCTCCGCAGGTCCAAGATTTAAATTACGAATTTCATTCAATATTAACTTCAACTTTAAAACTTTTTTCAACTCCACGTCACGTTCCTCCAGCAACTCTTGTGTCCCAGTCCCCATCATCGTGTTGGATTTATCATCAATTTCCATTGTAAAAAGTTTTGCTCTTTCAAACGCGGCTGTGGCAATTGCTGTCAGTGTTGAAAACCCAATTTTCAACTCTGGCTTTTCTTGGCACTCATAGTATGAAAAAGTATCGATATCGATCGAAAGTACAATTAAAAATGACTAATAACGTCACAAGGTCTAATTTTTATAAATGTTAAACATGAAACAATTCTATACTAATAATAATAAACACTTATTATGTTTGCAGCTCTGATTTTAAAGTTTGTAAAAAGCAACGTCAGTTTTAAATTGCTCATGACTTTAAAAATATGTAATGGTTCACTAAGCAAACAACCTCTCACACCTCGTTCCACATACGAAATCCCTTTCATAGTTGAGCGCGTATAAAAGATAGTGGAAAAGTCAGTATAAGAAATCAAATAATCAGAACTCAATTAAAATATATTAATTGCAGTGTTCGTTTGGTTAAGAAACCACCCATTGTGGACTGCGGTCACAATAGGAGCCGGAACAATGATAACCTTTAAATATATTCGAGACAAGATCAGAAATTCAAATCAGGAGATTCTAGACATTATGATATTCAACGAACTGAGCGGGAAATGTGACAGCGGGCATCCGAAGAAGGAAGCACTTAACTGCCCTAACAAATACTGCAGCAAACGTCACATTCAACGGATCGTTCAGCAAATCGATCAGGCAGTCTACTCTATAGACATTGCCATCTACACATTTACCACCATTGAAATATTGGAAGCATTTTATCGAGCGTTGGACCGCGGTGTGACAATACGCGTCATTAGCGATCCCGAAATGCTTTCCTCAACGGGCTCCAAGGTCTTGAGTCTGAAAAGCTCCGGAGTTGAGATTCGCATGCCAGAGACGACGGCTTTGATGCACCACAAGTTTCTGGTGATTGATGGCGGTGCACGAGTGAAGAGCCTTTTACGAGTTAAGGACGGACGAAAAAAGCCAACTTGTGTTGTTGGTGCTGTGTTTTATGGCTCCGCCAACTGGACAGCTCAAGGTTTCAAGGGCAACTGGGAGAACTGTGTGCTAAGCTCCGATAAGCTGTTAACAAATAGGTTTCAAGCTGAATTTGACAGAATGTGGACATCATTCAAACGTTATTAATCTCAAAGCAAACCGCCTTGATATGTAAAGTGTAAAGTTTATTTACTTAATCTCATTATTCTTAGACTTAAAAACTTAAAAGTTCTCGAATGATGAACTACTTTGCCTGTTGTTTTAATTTTTCAACACGTCGCGTAAATGTCTCTTTTAGTGCGTTCAATCGTTCCAATTCCGAACGCATTTCTATATATTCCAAATAGGAAACTTCGGATTTAAGCAATATTTCATGCTTGAGTTTTAACACGCGGTTGACTTCTTTTTGCTTCTGTTGTGTTTTGTTTAGCTTCACTGTTAGCGCACTGTCTTTTGATTTTTTGTTCGCCTTTGATTTCTTAGATTTCTGCGAGTAATGTAAATAGTTTAATTCAAATTAAGTCTAATGTTTATAATTTTAAACTTACTTCCATTTTGCTGCGTCTTATTGTTGACGATGGGCAGTACGATGATCATCTGTGAACAGGGTAGTCTATTTAATTTGGAGGGCCACACTTTTTGTTTACTGAAATCATCGATAATTCCGACTTACCTAGTCGATAGGCACGTAAACAACATCGAAATATACAAAAACAATTGTATTTATTGAAAATTGTTAAAAAGTTTTGTGGCTTATTAAATGAATGCTCTTACGGATAAGGTACTTGTGACCAAGGAGGCACTGGCTCTGGCCCTTGGGGACAATTGGGAACGGTATAGGGCAAATATGAAAAATTGGTTTCGCAATCGATGGACGAAAGAGGAATTTGATTGCGAATGCAGAAAAATTATGTCGCCCGACAAACTCCATTTGCATAATCAATTCTTACTGGCGCTTCTCAATAAGATCGATGCCTTTGCAGCCCCCGAAACAATTGCTACACTACAGCCCACATGCACAACGAGCAGTCGAAGCGGCAGCGGCGCCGCTGGCAGCAGCAGCAGTCGAAAACGCAAACGCAGCTCTCGCACCTTTGCGGATCGCATTAATTTCGAACTATGCGATGTGTTGGAATTTGTTAAGGAGGACAATATGCAGTTGATTCGCCCGCCCACATTAGCAGGTGACCAGGGAATGCAGCAGCAGCAGCAACTGCCCACACAACGCTATTGCGCACAAGAATTATTTTTGCCCGACGCTGGTTTTATAATGGGACGCTTTTTAATTGGTGCCTGGGAAATTGGCTTGATCTCCGTGGAAGATAGTGTGGCCGATTATGTGGCCATGGCCGTGCAGGTGCTGCTCAAAGATTTGCTAGCAGCAATTATCAAGAAACGCAAACATTATAAAACTAGCGGCGAAGGCAACTTTTTCTATGATGTGGGCGCCCAACTACGCGATCCCTCGCTGCGCAACACAGTCACGCGCCAGAAGGTGGACGACACGCCACTGGAACACGACAAGGAGCTGAACACAGCCAACTTTATGCGACGACAAAACGATGATATTGTCTTTCTCTCAGCTTGTGAGCAAGTGTAAGTATTGAACGAGTCGCAAATCAATTGAAGAACTAACTTCATTTTCTTACGTCCAATTAGTTTACCCTGTGAACGCACTGTGATTACGTTGAAGGATTGCCAACGTGCTTTTAGGGACCGCAATCTAATTGGCTCTCATGCAGTTTACTCTATCAATATGGAACGTTTGAATATGATGATGCACTAAAGAGATTCTACTTTTACAGTATTTATTTAAGAAATTCGATAACAATGTTTTTTATTTAACAAAGCTCGCGTGGTGGTGGCTTAAAGGGCACCTGCCCAGGCGCAAATTGTTCCGCTTTAAAGGCTGCGATCTCTTCGGCTGTAAGATCTTCCATGCGACTATATATTATAGAAGTTGTATCAGGCTGCTGCTGCACTTGCTGCTGCTGTTGCAGCAGTTGTCCTTGTTGCGTGGCTGCTGCTTGCATTTGCTGCTGCTGTTGAAACCCGCCCGCCGGCTGAGTAAAAAATCCACTTGGGGTCTGAGCAGCTGCCTGTGCAAATATATTGCCTGTATTGGCTGTGGCACCCGCTGGATTGGCAAACATCCCGCCCAAAAAAGGCTGTTGCTGCTGTTGTTGTTGCTGTTGTGGCGGAAAGGCAACAGTTTGTCCAAACGGCGTTGCATGTGTTGGCTGTGCTTGTGCAAAGACGCTGTTGGTGCTAGGGAGAGCAGCTTGTGCCTGCCCAAAGGGATTCGGCTGTGGCTGCTGCTGTGGCTGACCAAATATGGAAGATTGCGCCTGTCCCAGTGGCTGTTGCTGTCCAAAGGGGCTGACCTGTTGTTGCTGCTGTTGTCCTGCAAACGTTTGCGTCTGCGGCTGCTGTTGCGCAAATACATTTGTATTTGATGCAGCTGCAAAAATGTTGGTGCCCGCATTACTAGCGCCACCAAATATAGAGTTACCAGCTGACGAGAAGTTTGTGGTCGCAGCAGAACCAGCTCCAAAAATATTCGTACTGCCAGAACTCAAGGCGGGTTTGCTAAAAATCGAGCTGGATTGCGCAGCGAACGGATTGTTGTTATTGGCAGCTGGCTGGCTGCCTTCTGGTGTTTCATATAGCTTGATCATTACATCGAGTATTTGCGGTGAGAATTGGAGCATTAGCTTCATTTTATTTGTCGTCTCATGCACCTCCTTGGTGAACTGCTGATGGAACTGTTCGAAACAGTTTTGGCGCTGACTTTCATAGGCTTGAAATCTAACTTCTTCGAACGACTGGTCTTCTATGAAGTTTGGTATATTAGGTTTGTCCTTGTACGGGCCATACACAGAGAAGGGCCACATTTTGCCATTGATGCACGATTCAATGTCAGTTTTCAGATACTGTCTAAAATTACATTTATGATGAAATTCAATCTTAAGAATTTACTTATGTACTTACTTAACATCAAAATGTTCATTGTGGCATTTTGTACCGAAACGACAAGAGCCTTGTTGGAAAAAGCGGCATACACCCATTGCAGTCGATTATTTAAAATATAAACATGAAATGGTAAGATCTTTTTAATTTTTTGGCGCTGTTTCTTCATAAAAACCGTTCGAGGTTTGAGTAAACAGCTGATTGTGCTTACAACACAAGACTGCCAACTTGCCTGAAACATTTGGTTAGAGCTGATTAACAATTATCAAAAATTGACTTGCGACGCTAGTAAAAAAGATTTGTAATTTTTAGATGTTCTATATATTTCTAATAGTTAAAATGTGAACTTCCTTACGCATTGATTGTCCATAAACTATTTTCGATTCGATATAATCGAAAAATATTATAATCGATAGATTATGTTATGATCTCTTAGTCTACTATGCTCTCAAACTTGTTGCTGTTAACAGCTGTTAAATAACATTAATATTTAATTTGTTGTTGGAATTTGAGCGGGTTGGTCGTCGCGTCGGCTTGTCACGGATAAAATGTTGACGCTTGTAAATTATTGCAAAGATAAAACACACGCCTTAAGCGTTCGCTCCTTCAACTAGTTTCATATACACCAACTAACTTGGTTGAGTAAAACACTAAAACAAAAAAAGGCAACAAGTCTCTGTGATCGTTTTGCGTTTGCGTCTGCGTTTGTGTCTCTCGAAAAGGGCAGGCAGGAAAATTCAAGCCAATAAAAGATACATACTAAAAGCCGAAGTGCGCGAAAATTGTGTCTGCTAGTTTTTGCGTATGTGTATATAAGTGTGTGTGAGTGTGCGTGTATTTTGATGGCAAGAAACAACAAAACAAATAATACTTGAATGTTATTGCCTTCAAATTGTGCAACCATCTGCTGTTATTCAAACAATTAATTGCGGCTACGCTACGCTCTGTGCTTGCATCGGAATGCGGCAGCATCAGCGACGCGCATGCGTTTCCAAATATTTATCTTCGCAATTGTCACGATCGCAGAGCTGTGCAGCTTAACGCACCCAGTGCGAAGTCAACTCCTGTAACTTGCCGCTTCTTCTTGCCTGTGCCAAAAATCTTCACCCAGAACTGTGTAAATAGCAAAGAAAGAGAAGCGTAAAGCCGCTGTCAAGCAAGCATCATAAGACACACAAACATAAGTACATATGTAATACATACATATGTAGGTAAGTACACACTCCTCCCACCCACGGTCCGAACCCTGTTATTCTGTAACTCTAACAGCCCCATCTCTAGCTGCCCGCCCACTTGCCTGACGCTTTATAAGGCAAACAAAATTAACTCATAGGTCGGGATAAGAACGTTCCTTCTCTGTCTCTCCCCCTCTCCATGAAGCCGCACAAATTGCTCTATTCTGGCGCACTCTGACGCCTACTTGGCTGCACATTGGGCGCGCCCACAACTTTTGTTTTTCTCTCCGGTTTTCTTTGTTGCCCACTTGGCAAGCCTGTTAATAAATAAACAGTCAAAGATATTGAACAGATTTTCCGAAAGAAAAAAAACTAAATTAATTTTCAAGACAAACAGGCCACCAGCACAAAGAATAAGAGGAAGAATTTAACAGGCAGAAAAGGGTCAAACTTAAAACGACAATAACATCAATTTTGAGGCATTTATATGCGCCAATAAATTTCACAGTGAAACAAGAGACTACAACAACAACAACAGCAACAACAAACACTGCAACAAAAGAGCAGAAAAAGATGCACGGCAACGACTCAACAATAAGAGAGATCAAACAAAAAACTGCAGTCCCTGCCGACGCTGCTTTCGTTATTGTTGTTGTTGATGTTTTTATGTGCTGCAACAGGTAAAACTGATTGAGCAGCGGCCAACAACAAACAGTGCAGCATTTCGAAATGTAATGTGCAGCAAATCAATACGAAAATGCATGCAAGACAATCTGCAGTGAAAGAGAAAGAGAGCGAGAAAGAGAGATAGACAGATAGCGAGAGGAGCACCGTGCGGAGTATAGGCTCTAGCAACCTGTTGCGTCTGCTGCTGCTGCCGCCGCTGCTGTTAGAAATATGTTAAGTCAATTTTGTGTATCGATAAACTGTAACTAATGCTAAAACAGCATGCAGCTAACAACAACAACAACAACAACCACAACAGTTATGCAAAGTTCGTTGTACGAGCTTTTTGTCAATGAAATCGGCGGCTGCAAAAAAAAACTTTCTTTTCCTTGTGAGCTTATCACGCAGCATCGGTGAATGCGTACACCGACTGCTGCTGCTCCAGTCGCTGCTCTCTTTTCGTGCCGTTCTGTGTGTCTTTCTTTCTTTTTTGTATAATTGGGCGGCCTTTTAGTTTTACGCGGCAGCAGCATATCAGCTTCATGGTTCATTAAGGCAATATATAGGTTGTCTCTTGTACCACTCCCAGTGTTAGCGCTGCGTGGGAAGTTTGGAATGTAGTATCTGTGTTTCTGACACTGTGTGTGTGTGTAGGTATGCGAGTGTGTGTGTATGTAAGTTGTCATCTTTGGGACCATCTTTGATTTCTTTCCATTGAACGCTCAACTCGCCGCAACAAGTGTCCCACTTTATGGCCAGAGCAAAAGCAACTAGAACAAGTTATAGTTTAACTTTCCTCCTGTCCAGCCACCGACACCTCACATAGCCACAGCAGGCAGCACTCTCTTTCCTTTAGGCTTTTAGATATTTTTCTTACGCTGCTGTTGCCTCGCCTTCCCCCATTAACGTTGGCCACATTTTCCCACATGCCCGCGCACAGAAGAACGAATGCTGCTGCCAACTCTTGCATTGGCGCGCCTTTAAAATGACAACGGCACATCAGGCAAGAGAGGAAACAGTCGGGAAAGCTGGCATTGGGCAACAAATGAGGGCTAGAATATGAAACGAGAACTAATTTTACTCAAATCTAATATCTAACAATGTATAAGACGAAGATTGAATTAAAGGAGCATAAAGCAACTCATGGCTGCCATGTTTGATATCTCTCAAGGATCTAACAAAGCATTTTGTCGTCCACATCTAAATAAAGTAGTTGCTTAAGATCCAAATCTTGGCCTTGGCTATATAAAACTGGTTGCCTCTCTGTAAAGATATCTTCTTTTATGTGCTAAAGATTTCTTTTACATTTTATATAAACTATTTGACAAGTAATGTTGTAAACGAAGTATTCTATGTGGTAGCAATTTACCAAGATGGCAAGCTATTCTATTATATATATCTATTGTATACATCTATTTTTGTAATGCAATAACAAGTTCAAGCTTCCTGTACTGCAGCGTCGGCATGCTTTAGTTACAGTTATATTGCACAGCCACGCCACATTTGATCTAACATCAACTAGCTACCAACTGTGCCCGCCTCCTAAGCATCAAGCCCCAAAGCTTTTGGTCAGCAGCGGATGCAGCGCTGCTAATGCCATTGTCTGTTCTCTGTGCGCTGTGTGCTCTGCGCAGAGAATGTTGCAATCCAAAGCAATGCAATGCACTGCAATGCAATGTTCATCATTTCTGTTGCAGTTGCTGTCAACGTTATTGCTGCTGCAGCTGCGATAAACATTGTAGAAATTTACATAAAATGTTACTGCACACAAAACAACGACTGCGAAATTTCTTTGGCTTAGTTGCTTGGCCAAAACTAATATCGCATGCACAAATTAACATTAACACTTTGCTTGCCGTTAAAAAACAAGTTTGGTGCTGAGCTAAAATACTTAAGCAAAAAAATAGTGCCACAAAAGTTGTGTTAGAAGACAAGAAAGCAGAATCGGGAATATTGTCAACATAGACGACTATGAAATGCCCTATAATGCGAAGAGCTAACTAAGAGTCAATAGACAAATTAAGCGTCTGAAAAATACCAATTACAACTCCAAACTAATGCGTTTCTAATGCTGATCATATCAAAGGTATTATAAACTTACTAGCAATAACAATTCGAAATGTTAAAGCTGCGAAACTATTTTCAGAATAATTCTTTATAATTGGAATACATTCTATTAACAAATCTCATGATAGTCGATTTTTACAGGGTATTCAGGGATCGAAATGACAGCATCAAAGCAGTGCATTTAGAAATTAGAAAGTACGTGGAACGTTGCTGTGTTAGTATAACTCGATTTGTGACTGTCATAAATGGCGGAAATTGTGGGTCTCAACATAGTCGCCACAGCCTCGGCTGAGTGGTTTCAGACTTTCTTGCTTACTTTCCACCGCCGCTACGACTGCCACTGCCACTGCCACTGCTTTCAGCTGCAGATTGCCTCAGTCTCTCTTGGCTATAATTTGTGCCATCAGCATTTTGTTGTCGTTAGTTAGCTTGCAGCAATGAAGCGTGCGTCGGAACAATTCTGCATCTGTGGCAGCTATTAGGCTGCCCTTTTTGACAACGTACGGCCCTTTAAGTAAGCGTTATGTGAGGAGGCCAAGACGCTGCACACTAATTTCGCTTGCCTCCCATTTTTTCATTTTTTATGACTTATTCAATTTGCAGCGATAACGAAAACCGGCTACAGCTCTGTGGCAATACCAGGGCAACAATCTACGTTCATTAATACCCTTAGTGTGACTTGGATTTAAAATCAAGCAGCAACAGCATCCGACAAGACTTCAGCCAAGCTTCGAGCGTGGCACAGCTGTTGAAAGACGATTCACAATTCCCTCTTTCATCTTGAATCAACCATGGTTCAGTGGTTTCATATAAATTGTTGCGTGCGTATTAAATTACCTTTTGCTCGGATTTTGTACACTTCATTTTGTTGCCAGCTGAACAGTATATTACTTATTTTATAAAGTTGACTTACCATAAAGCTGAATCGAGCAGGTTAACTAGATCCTCCGGTTTGAGTTTGAAATGGTAATGAATGGTATGAAGAAGCTTTCATAGAGAAGTCCTACAGTAGCTGAGTATTCCCAAAGTATTAAAATTTAATATCTCTAAATTATAATACAAAAATATTCTGTAGATCTAGATAAAGATTACGAAATTAGTATTAAAGTCTGTAAAATAGTTTACATAAAATTAAATGCTTATATGTTGGCATCTATAAAACTCTTTAAACGTCCTTTAATTGCCTTACAAATCATTCAAATCCGGAAGTTTCTGTCGCTCAAAGGCGACCGACCGCATTATGCTTCAATATGAATTGAACACGTCGCATAAGCGGCTTTTGTTTAGGAAAGGAAATAGAATTCCC